TATGCCCACCATTTCGAGTATATATATATATATATATATAAGTTCAAAATAATGTGTTTCCTTTAAAAAAATTAATACAGTATCGAAAAAATAATACAAAACATTAGTCCTCACAATAGTTAACTGACTTTAGGATCATGTTGTATACTCATAATAATTAAAAAGTACTTAAATATACAAAGTGGCACAAAAATTAATTAACCTCGTTTCGTTTCGTGTGTCTCAGGCACTGTAAAGTACATTATGGATATTAACCATAGACTGAGTTAACTGAATTTCGGGCCTCCCTCTCTCTATATATATAGGCCTATAAGGATAAGGCAGAAATTTTAGCCTTTATAATGATTAAGTAATATTTGGGCCACCATGTCACCCTGTATATATTTTCATGTTTTTAAAGACATTTACTTTAGATTAATATTGTGAATATTTTTATATTGTCCTGGCCATTATATCTATTATGTAATAAATTTTTTATGTTGGAGTGATAATTGAGATGACGTTTCTTTCCATAAAAACGTTGTAAGTTCTTCCCTTATATAAGATTCATAATTTTTAAACGATTTTTCTCGCTTGACCAATCAAGAATAAAAAAGTTCATCCCAAATCCATAGATAAAATTCAATCTCCAAAATCGTAATAAATCTTTTGTTCAATTTTTGCTTGACAGAATTTTATCTCATGAAAATATTTCATGTANCAAAAATGGCTCCAACAAGCGAAACAAACGTCGTTCCTGGAGGGTTAAAGTATCTATTCTGGTATCGTGTAAAACAGTAAATGTGACAGTTTGGTAGCATTAAAGGTTAGAAAATCATGACGAGAATGGAACGTCACTCAACATCAGAGAGTGACATGTTATAGCTTCATAGCAAGAAAATTGTTCGACCAAGTTGGGTAACAGGTTAATACTCGAGATTTTATATAGAAAATTCGATTAAATCGATACTTTACGTGATGATAAAATATAAAATTTAATTTCATACACACAAATAAATCATTTTTGGTATACACTTAAGAGCTAAATGCATGTTAGTAGATAGAATTTTTTTCCTAAGAATTATACTTACTTGCACCAATTGAAAAAATTGTGATGCTTTAGCAATTGGATCCGTGACTGCTGTACACGCAGCACCAAAAAGCATGACTTTGGGCGGTTCTTTAAATAACATATCAAAGAAAGTCTTCATTCCCACAGCAGGATCACACTAGAAAACATTATACTTATATATAAACGTAATTAAACTTTCAATTTATCCAATTACTCGATATAATAAAATAAATAGATTAAATAGGTTAATAAGTTAAAATTTTTAAAGAAAAAAATAATAAAAATTTTATTTAAATTCAAAAGTAGAAAATAATTTTTAAACAATATTTAAAAAACGATTTTTTAAATAACCAAAATTGAAATTAAATTCTTCTCCAAATGTTTCGATTTAAGAAAAAAGAACAAGTGTTACTTCCCACACATACATATACAGTTTGAAAACTTAAAAGAGTTTTGGAAAACTAAATTTAAGGTGACTTTAACGTATTTTTTTGTACAAGAAAGAAATAAAATCTGTATTTTTCTTCCATTTTTTTTTCTATTCTATATCACGGTTCACACTTCGCATTTCACAACATATATCTTCTCATGTAAGTCGCATCGCTAACAGTATTGGTTTGTAATCAATCAGAGCTAGAATGATTCTTCTATGACCTCTTTTCTGCCAGATCCTATTGGAAATATTCTTTATAACTTACACTCGACGACGTTGCAAAAAAGTTAGGAGTGTTTTTTCAACTAACACACTATCAAAATAGTTTCTTTTCTAGATTAAATAGTAAATTTATATAGAAAACTAACTCAATTCTCGTTTATTTTTACTATTATTAACAATGTAAGTACTGTACGATTTGTATCTGTCCATAAAAACTCTACTTAATGGCAGAAGGGAGCAACTAAGAAATTCCACTTAATGGTGATTAAGGGTGGCAAGACGGAGAAGTACAGTGATGGCTTCACATTTGATCGTATTAAAAAGTAATACTTAGTGTAACAATTGAGATCCATTTATCCACATGTAAAATGGATAAATTTTTGACGTTACTTAAAGCTATTGTGATCGTATAATTTACCCAAGAGGTGTCTAATCAATAAAATTTTCTAAAAAAATAAAATATATTTTTTTATAATTTCATCTTATATTAAACTTCAATCTCCTTTTTCATTCTTCATACTTTAATATAGTGTGATTAAAACTATCACTCAAAAGTTATAGATATTTTTTTAGTAAGTAGAAAACTAATCGATTAATCGATTTTTTGGGAAATTAAAATATTCCATTTATCAATTTATAGCGATTAAATTTATAAATCTTTCATATAACAATGGAGGAATTTTAGACAATATCGTAAATATGTCATAACAAAGTAATTATGTAGAATTTATTGCTGTCATTGTTAAGTCTTCAACAATATCAAGCTGCTTCTTAGAAAAGAAAGATTAGAAAATGATGAAGAATATATAGATTTTAAGGATTAAGATCTTTTATATATTTTTCAAGCCAAGAAATTCGTATAAAAAAGAGAAAAATATACATAAATTAATATATAATACCGTGATTACATCGTGTAATTTATGTATTATAACTGAATAAAGCTGGACGTTTCATGTACAGTAGTAGTTGTACTAATCGATATATTTTAATTAATTTCGTTTACTAAAACTATAATATTAAATCGTGAATACTCACCAAAGCGTAACGTGGAGAATTTTGGTATAAAGTTCCAACTCTCGTCCAGTTATACCTCTGTAACAAGGCCACCCTCGCTGGGTTAAATGCTGATTCGCTGGGTACCACTCGAAAAAAGTTGGGATAACTTTCGCTAGTGTACATTGGGTGTGTATCAGCATACGTCACCTATAAAAAGTAAGTCAAATGTACAGTATATGTATACGTTTCGTGTTATAAATCGAATAAAAAACAAAAATGGCTCCAACAAGCGAAACAAACGTCGTTCCTGGAGGGTTAAAGTATCTATTCTGGTATCGTGTAAAACAGTAAATGTGACAGTTTGGTAGCATTAAAGGTTAGAAAATCATGACGAGAATGGAACGTCACTCAACATCAGAGAGTGACATGTTATAGCTTCATAGCAAGAAAATTGTTCGACCAAGTTGGGTAACAGGTTAATACTCGAGATTTTATATAGAAAATTCGATTAAATCGATACTTTACGTGATGATAAAATATAAAATTTAATTTCATACACACAAATAAATCATTTTTGGTATACACTTAAGAGCTAAATGCATGTTAGTAGATAGAATTTTTTTCCTAAGAATTATACTTACTTGCACCAATTGAAAAAATTGTGATGCTTTAGCAATTGGATCCGTGACTGCTGTACACGCAGCACCAAAAAGCATGACTTTGGGCGGTTCTTTAAATAACATATCAAAGAAAGTCTTCATTCCCACAGCAGGATCACACTAGAAAACATTATACTTATATATAAACGTAATTAAACTTTCAATTTATCCAATTACTCGATATAATAAAATAAATAGATTAAATAGGTTAATAAGTTAAAATTTTTAAAGAAAAAAATAATAAAAATTTTATTTAAATTCAAAAGTAGAAAATAATTTTTAAACAATATTTAAAAAACGATTTTTTAAATAACCAAAATTGAAATTAAATTCTTCTCCAAATGTTTCGATTTAAGAAAAAAGAACAAGTGTTACTTCCCACACATACATATACAGTTTGAAAACTCTTAAAAGAGTTTTGGAAAACTAAATTTAAGGTGACTTTAACGTATTTTTTTGTACAAGAAAGAAATAAAATCTGTATTTTTCTTCCATTTTTTTTTCTATTCTATATCACGGTTCACACTTCGCATTTCACAACATATATCTTCTCATGTAAGTCGCATCGCTAACAGTATTGGTTTGTAATCAATCAGAGCTAGAATGATTCTTCTATGACCTCTTTTCTGCCAGATCCTATTGGAAATATTCTTTATAACTTACACTCGACGACGTTGCAAAAAAGTTAGGAGTGTTTTTTCAACTAACACACTATCAAAATAGTTTCTTTTCTAGATTAAATAGTAAATTTATATAGAAAACTAACTCAATTCTCGTTTATTTTTACTATTATTAACAATGTAAGTACTGTACGATTTGTATCTGTCCATAAAAACTCTACTTAATGGCAGAAGGGAGCAACTAAGAAATTCCACTTAATGGTGATTAAGGGTGGCAAGACGGAGAAGTACAGTGATGGCTTCACATTTGATCGTATTAAAAAGTAATACTTAGTGTAACAATTGAGATCCATTTATCCACATGTAAAATGGATAAATTTTTGACGTTACTTAAAGCTATTGTGATCGTATAATTTACCCAAGAGGTGTCTAATTATTTAGAGGTAACGATTAAATTTCCGACTCTAAATAATAAAAAAAATGTTTATATATGTATGTAAACATTTGTATGTCTTATTAAATATTTAAAATAATATTTTTTATTTAAAGAAGTAAAGTTTTACCTTGTTTTATTCACTTGAAACAAAGCCAACTAAGTTACAAAAGCCTCCAGCGACAAACTACATAAACAACCTGACAACCGTCCTATTCCAAACAACTGATATATACTTTTTCTAAAAAATTCTATGTCACAATTTCAAGAAGTCATGAATATTTCAAAAAACTACTTTCAAAAAAGTTAACAGTAAAAAGAATCTAGAAAAATAAGAACTTTTATAAAATCTTCTTAAACTAGAGAAGAAAAAATGTCACTATAACTTCCATTAAGGATTAAAATCGAGGAAGAAAAATATATAAAACATTTATGTATTAGGATGCACTANACAGTAGCTTCTAAGCGCCGTAAATAAATAAATGTAAACAATTTTCTTATAAATATAATACAAATTGTTAAATTACTTTCAATTTTAAATTTTTTAAAGCAGTACAAATGTATTTTATCCTCTAGAGACGACTGAATTATCATTAACTTAATAGTCACACTTTAACAAGAACGGTTTGTAAGTATAATAAATAAATTCAACGATGCAATTTAAGTGTATATATATATAATGTGTAACATCATCTGGAGTTGTCACTAATGCATAAAAATCCGAATAAATTGTTTTATTTAAAGAAAAAAAATAAGGAAAGTTGCCATGGAAGTGCTTCTAACTCACTGTTACAAAAGAAAGGTTTGCAGGAAACATTATTGTTAAAGTGTACGTTCTGTATGTTATTCTTCAAAAGCCGACAGAAAAAGTATATTTGAAGAACCTAACAGATTCGAACTGAAAGGAATTAAAGGAGTATAGAATTTGTTTTCCCATATCTACTTCAGAGTTGGATATCTTCAATGGTACTGCACATATATTGCAGAGTGAGTATATATTAAAAAAAGAAGGAAATCGAATAGGAAATAGCCTACTATATTTTTTCTTTATACATCAAGACTCAGGCGTTAGAACACATTATAGATACGAAAATAGCCAGAGACAAAAATATGATAAAGTGGATGGAGAATGATGATTGTATAGAAAAACATACCCGTGCAAGAATTGGTATCGATCATAAGTTGTAAAATTAGCTTACTCATCGATAAAAATACATAAAAATCGATTATTTACATAAAGGATTTTTTACAGAAATTCAATTTTCTTTAATTTACACAGTGTTGAAATGAGAATTTAGTCGAGATAGTACTCGTCACTAATTTATTTTTAGTTAGCGAGTAGCGGGCACTAATTAAAACTATGCAGTGCTAATTAGAAAAATAAATGTTTAAATTGTTTAAAACTACAGAATGAACAATACGGTGGTGTTTCTTAATCCAACTACGTAGCCGAGAACACGTAAGAAGATCATTTTTGAAGTTGTAACCACCGAAAATCTTTTCAATGCTGTACCGAGAATTGGACACTTTATCAAAAGCCTCGACACATGCTAGCTACACACAATTGCTTTACGTGGTTGCTATGACTACAATGATCTCACGCTTCACAAAGATATTTGGATAGAAAGAGAGAGAGAGAGAGAGAGAGAGAGAATGGAAAAATTCGAATTTCTACTCTCATCTGACCCCAGAAAAGTCCAATTTCCTTCTTGCAAAATATCAAAAACTCAAATAAATTTATAAGTTGTCGTTTTATTTTCCATAATTAAAGAATTTATAAGGATTTCTTATAAAAAAAAAGAAGAAAAATTAAGAATAGCCGAAGCATCGATCCTCTACAAAGTCATGTCTATTGTATGAAGTATGGCCATAATAAATATACCGCGTGAGACATATATAAAGTTTGTATACTTCTTCCTGCATAAAATATCCATTCATTAACAATATCTGGATACATTTAAAACTAAAAATTCTTACATAAAAATACTTTATCCATTGTTAATTAATTAAAGAAGTGATTTGTGAAGCCGATGAAATTATTTCATTTTATTTTAGTAAATTGGAATGTTTAATGAAATAATTCATGAATGATTTAATTAAAATGTTATTGAATAGTATAAAATATTTGATATTAAGAAGACCCTTTTCACAAGATATTAACAAAGACTTAGGATTTACATTTATGGGTCTTCAAAAATATTCATTCCATTAAATTTTTTGTATATTAAAAAAATTCTTATTTTTCTCACAACCTCTACTGACATCTGAAAGGCCCTGAAAGCAACGTATTTTCATAATTATAGTTCATATTTATGACTAAAATTTTGAATTAACTTTCTGAATAATTTAATAAACCATTCAAAATTAAAGAATTAAATATGTTACTAATTATAATCAATTGATTTGACGAATTTTTCTATGGAGTAACTTATGAAAATTCACTTCAGTTTTTACACTTATCTCACTTATTGATTATAAATGAATATAGTAAAAAGTAGTTTTCGTATATTCGTTACAAGAAAATTACAGGAGTTTTGGATCTTTCTTCGATTACAAACACCTTCAGAACCAAAGCAGATACCTTAATGGCACCCTCGAGAATAGAACATTTTCGTTTCTATACACATCAGATGTATTTGATTGGTCCTTCGTGTCTAGGAAAGAACAAGATAAATACACACATAGAAAATTACTATCCGGAATCTCCATTCCCCAATTGAATAAACGAAATTCAATTACTTTTAATCATAATTTTACTTTGATTCTCAAATTAAAATAAGTTGTAAAATTAGCTTACTCATCGATAAAAATACATAAAAATCGATTATTTACATAAAGGATTTTTTACAGAAATTCAATTTTCTTTAATTTACACAGTGTTGAAATGAGAATTTAGTCGAGATAGTACTCGTCACTAATTTATTTTTAGTTAGCGAGTAGCGGGCACTAATTAAAACTATGCAGTGCTAATTAGAAAAATAAATGTTTAAATTGTTTAAAACTACAGAATGAACAATACGGTGGTGTTTCTTAATCCAACTACGTAGCCGAGAACACGTAAGAAGATCATTTTTGAAGTTGTAACCACCGAAAATCTTTTCAATGCTGTACCGAGAATTGGACACTTTATCAAAAGCCTCGACACATGCTAGCTACACACAATTGCTTTACGTGGTTGCTATGACTACAATGATCTCACGCTTCACAAAGATATTTGGATAGAAAGAGAGAGAGAGAGAGAGAGAGAGAGAATGGAAAAATTCGAATTTCTACTCTCATCTGACCCCAGAAAAGTCCAATTTCCTTCTTGCAAAATATCAAAAACTCAAATAAATTTATAAGTTGTCGTTTTATTTTCCATAATTAAAGAATTTATAAGGATTTCTTATAAAAAAAAAGAAGAAAAATTAAGAATAGCCGAAGCATCGATCCTCTACAAAGTCATGTCTATTGTATGAAGTATGGCCATAATAAATATACCGCGTGAGACATATATAAAGTTTGTATACTTCTTCCTGCATAAAATATCCATTCATTAACAATATCTGGATACATTTAAAACTAAAAATTCTTACATAAAAATACTTTATCCATTGTTAATTAATTAAAGAAGTGATTTGTGAAGCCGATGAAATTATTTCATTTTATTTTAGTAAATTGGAATGTTTAATGAAATAATTCATGAATGATTTAATTAAAATGTTATTGAATAGTATAAAATATTTGATATTAAGAAGACCCTTTTCACAAGATATTAACAAAGACTTAGGATTTACATTTATGGGTCTTCAAAAATATTCATTCCATTAAATTTTTTGTATATTAAAAAAATTCTTATTTTTCTCACAGCCTCTACTGACATCTGAAAGGCCCTGAAAGCAACGTATTTTCATAATTATAGTTCATATTTATGACTAAAATTTTGAATTAACTTTCTGAATAATTTAATAAACCATTCAAAATTAAAGAATTAAATATGTTACTAATTATAATCAATTGATTTGACGAATTTTTCTATGGAGTAACTTATGAAAATTCACTTCAGTTTTTACACTTATCTCACTTAT